TGGGCCCTTTTGCCTTCCTCTACATTCCATTACTGAAGCCTGTTGCCTAAAAGTGGCCTCTACAGAAAATAGAGAACACATAGATTAAAGAAAAAAAATGTTTAATGTTTATTTTTGAGAGAGAGAGAGAGCAGGGAAGGGGCAGAGAGAGAGGGAGACACAGAATCCCAAGCAGGCTCTGTGCTGTTGGCGCAGAGCCTGATGCGGGGCTTGATCCCATAAACTGTGAGATCATGACCTGAGCTGAAGTTGGGCGCTCAACTGACTGAGCCACCCAGGCGCCCCTAAAACACATAGATTCTAGCAGCAAGGATGCCCCCGCCCCCATGTAAAGAGAAGGTTGCAGAAGAGGATTGTGAGGACAGTTGGGGGGGGGGGGGGGGGTGGGAGGCAAGAGCTTTCTGGGGGCCTGGCTGCATAACTAATCTCCTTGATGGGAGAGTCCTGGAACCCAGTGACAATAGGACAGAAAGAGCCTTCAAGAGGATGCCAGGGAGGTCAAGACAGAACTCTAGAATAAAGTATCTAGAACTAGACCATTTAGAGGGTAAATAATGGAGAATGGGAGAAGAAAGGATGGTGATAACAGTGCTTTTTAAAAATCCAGCCAATGGAAGGATTTCCTTCCCCACACACTCCCTGATTTGTGGGTGGTACCCAGACTCAAATCTGCCAGCAGCATCAGTAGTTAGTTCATAAACCCATCATTCCTCAGTTTTCTAAGATCGGTCTGATTTCTAACACTCAGTCCCATTGCTGAACACTGTACTGTTTGTGGTTAGAAAATCATGATCTCTGTGCCCATACAAGTGTCCTCTGCCATAGAGTGTGTAAAGCCCTGTATGGGCAAATTAATTAGGAATTCTTCTTCCTTGTTCCTTCCTGTGACCTTGCTTGTCATCTTGAGTTTCCTTTCTTGCTTAATAGCTTTGCAATCCATCTTATCACCTGAGCCAGAAACCTGAGAAAATTCTCTTATCTATTGCTGCATAACAAATTACCCCAAACTTAACAGCTTAAAAGAACAAACATTTATTATCTCACAGGGTTTCTGAGGGTTAAGATTCCAGGAGCAGCTTAATCGGGTGGTTCTGGCTCAGGATCTCTTACAAGGTTGCAGTCAGCTATCTGTCAGGGCCACAGGCATCTCAGCTGGACAATTCTCTTCCAAATTCATTTGCATGGTTATTGACAGACCTCAGGTCCTCCCTGACTGTACACCAGAGGTCTCTATATTCTAGCACATGGGCCCCTCCAGAGGCTGTGTGATTACTGTTTTGACATGGCAGCTGGGTGCCCTCCAGAGCATGTGATAGGGAGGGAGGCAGGCGGGGGGGGGGGGGGGGGGGGGGGGGGGGAGGAAGGGAGGGACAGAGAGACACTGAGAGACCCTAAAATGAAAGTCACAGATTTTTAAATTCTCTAATCTCAGAAATGACATCTCTTCTGCCATATCCTATTGGTCACACAGACCAACCCTGCTACAGTGTGGGAGGGGACTCCATAAGGGTATGAATACCAGGAGGCAAGGGTTATTGGGGGCCACCTTGGAAGCAGCTATCTCTGAGCGGCTCCTTTCCTTCTTCTCCTTCAGCAGATCATTAAGTCCTTCTGATTCTTCCTCTACAGTGTTTTTCAGATATGACAGCATCTGAAATCTGTTTCTTCAGGGAAGAGGCATGGAGGCTGATGGAGGAAGCCTTGGGGACCACACACCTAAGGGCACAGGGGGAATATATAATACTGTGCTCCAGCCCAAACTTATAGGGAGAAGGAGAGCATACCTCTTGGCAAGCCAGTCTTTTGGGGAGGATTCATTCCCTGTGCAGGGAAGGGGAGACATGTAACACTAGAGTCACCCTACAGAAACCAGGTGCTGAGCACAATAGCAAGTGAGCACGGGTGCTTTCAGACTTGACCTAAGCACCTAGGATTTAAGACCATAATATGAGGTCAGCTCCCCCTTTGCATGGGGCAGAGAAAGTCTTTTTTTTTTTTTTTTTAATTTTTTTAATGTTTATTTTTGACAGATTGAGAGAGAGAGAGACAGAGCATGAGCAGGGGAGAGGCAGAGAGAGAGGGAGACACAGAATCTGAAACAGGCTCTAGGCTCTGAGCTGTCAGCACAGAGCCCGATGCGGGGCAGGAACTCACAGACCACAAGATCATGACCTGAGCCGAAGTCAGATACTCAGTCGACTGAGCCACCCAGGCGCCCCTTGGGCAGAGAAAGTCTCAGGAGATCTCCAGTCAAAGGTCTGTCACTTCCTTGTAAATGTCACAAATAGGTTTAACTCCACATGTCTACTTAGATTGGAAGTGGCTTCCTAGAGCTCTTGAACTGAGAAAAGTTGTGGGATCCATTCTGCTTCAGTGAGGAAGAAAGCCTTGATTCTCAATGTCTACCATTGTCAGAGGAAACGAGTTTATACCTGCCATTTGGCTGGTGGGAATACACCCCATTTCCACCGATGATACCTTTCTTCCTTGAGACCCTCCTATAAGATGGGCTTTGGGGGAAAAAGCAAAACAGTTAGTAGAGTTTCAGAAGTAGGCATACCTTGAACCCCAACTCCGTGAGCTACTTGAGCTGCTACAGCACTGTCCCACCATGCACCCACCACTACCAGCCCCACCTGGGAGGAAGCTGGGAGAACCTCATTAGGTTCTTCAACAGTCTAAAGCTGGATGGTTAACCAAGATTAAGTCAACCGACTAAGGGTCCAAGGAGGCCAAGGTGGGAGTTCAGAACTCGTTGGTGGGAGATTCTGGGCCTTCTATGAAAATTTACCTTTGTTCTTAGATTTATAAACTTGGGACCAGAATCATAAGTTTATGGCCCAGAATAGAGGTCGGTTCTGCCCTCCATCGCCGTTTGACTTGGGACTCGGAGAGGTCAAGGGACTTTCTCACAGTCATTTGATAAGTTGGCCAGGACCACGGGCTCCATCATTTCTAATCTTTCCCTGCCCTGTGTTGGACGTGCGAGCACAGTGGCATGCACACTGCCTGGACAGAGAGGCTACAGCTGCCTGTTTGCTCTGACATCCAGTTTCTGCCCTCCTTGTGACCTCTGAATGACAAGGAACCTCATTTCCCAGGCTGCCTTGTCTTCTGCCTCCTACTAGGTTTGGCCCACGGTTTGGGTCACTGGTGGAAAATTTGAGAGCAGGAGTTGGTGAGAAACAAGGTATTTCTTCCTCCCTCCCTGCTTTCTTTGGCATCTCCAGTAGTGACTGAGTCTCCCCTGGTCCCAGCACCCGTTGGACAGTCCCCACTGTGCCTCTGGCTTCTGCCACATGACCCCTTGAGCTGCAACCCAGTAATTCCCAGTAACACCAGTTCCCTCAGCCTGAGGACTCACTGCTGTTTACCCCTTCAGCTAATCCCCGGGTTGCCTCATTTTCCTCTGGCTTCTCAGCTCTTCTATTATTGGTATAGCCAGTTGCCTATGTTAAATTACTTATGTTTGGTAAGATCTAGACTGGTGTGTCCTTTCCTTACTGGGCCCTGAATGATGGAGTAGGACCATCATTCTGTGTGTTCCCTCACATTATAGGAACACAATAAATGTTGAGTCATAACCATGTTAATGAAAAAGGAAAACCAGTTTACCCAAGAGAGTTAGTGCTCTGCTCTATTCCTTTACTCTATAAATCAAGCTGATTAAAACTACATCATGTTGTGCTCACTTCGGCAGCACATATACTAAAATTGGAACGACACAGAGAAGATTAGCGTGGCCCCTGCGCAAGGATGACACGCAAATTCGTGAAGCATTCCATATTTTTGGGTAAGGGGTATCAAGGAATCTACCCCTGAAATCATTGTTTCACTATATGCTAACTAATTTGGATGCAAATTTTAAAAAGTAAAAAAAAAAAAAAAACCCTACGTCATGTTTGTCATAATTCCTGAAAAGCAAAAAAGTGGAGACATTTTCTTAAGACATTTTCCTGACGGTCAGTTGTGTGCCTTCAACTCTGGTGTCAAAGGAATGGATTTCTTTGATCTCCTGGATCTTTTCCATCTCTGTCCTCTGATTTAATCATGGAAAGGATCGTTCTTGGTATGGGTGGGTTTGTAATTTTTAATTGTTGCAGAACGAGCCCTAACGTCATACTATTTGGTTTCCTCCACTCGCTTTGGTAATGACTCTACTTGGCCTTCCCATCACAAGCTTGGTTGTTGTGACCTACAGTCCTGTTTATATGCCAACCCCTGTTCTTGGCCTCCACACAAGGATTCCCACAAGGGTTCCATCTGAGATGGTGGTTTCCAACATTGGGGATATCTGCCCGCCAGCAACTGGATTTGAGACCACCAGCTTGTTTTTCCAAACATTAATATCTCAGTGATCTCTAAACATATTTTCTTTTCCAGAATGTTTTCCAAAAGGTTTGTAAGAATGTCTCTAAACCTTTTTGTTTTCTTCTGAAGGTATTAAGGGCCTAAGGGCAGGGGCATGGGTAATATAAATTTTAAATTGGCAGAATAGTGGGGCACCTGGGTGGCCCATTCGGTTAAGCGTCCCACTTGGTTTCAGCTCAGGTCATGATCTCACAGTTTGTGAGTTCGAGCCCCACGTAGGGCTCCCTGCTTGGGATTCTCTCTCTCTCTCTCTCTCTCTCTCTCTCTCTGGCCCTTCTCTGTTTGTACTCTCTCTCTCAAAAATAGATATATAGATAAACTTAAAATAAATTGACAGAATGGTATTTAAAGCTATATCCAAAAATATATTCTTCCCTTAAAAAAAAAAAACAACAACAACAATTCTCTTTACATACTTAAGTAATTCATTTGGGAGAAGTTACTACCCAGCTATTCACATAGCCAGCCCTTGGCAGTTTTAGTTCAAAATGCTTTGAAACCAGTCAACTACAAAGCCTCAAATGTTTTCTCTTTAAAAGCTCAACTTAACCTTCACTATGGCGGTGGTGAGAAAAGTGACAACTCATTTAAAGATTCTCCCCTTTTGTTTCTTTGTCTTTCTTCTGCAGGCCATGTGTTTATACTATGGGATCTCCCATAAACAACAGGGCCCTTTTTCCCTGCCAGGAGCCACCCGTTGCCATGTCAACATGGCAAGCTACAGTTCGAGCAGCTGCATCTTTTGTTGTTTTAATGAGTGGGGAAAATTCTGCCAAGCCAACACAGCTTCGGGAAGGTACCGTACATGTGTTCTGTGCTTCTTTCTGTATTGCGCACATGCTGGACCCAGGGATCCAGTACGCGATGTTTTTCTCAACTTTAAAGAGCTCCTTGATTAGTTGGGTTGGAATGAACCTACTAAAAACATTTTGCCAGAGAAAACAGCAGGGGATGGGGAGGGGCACTTGAGAGTCTGGACAAAGCATGCGGGGCTCTTCATGCCAGAGTTATCAATTCCTAGATTATTTTAGCAGTTGCTTTCACCTGGTGGTTTGTGGGCCATAAGCGGGTGGTCTCAGCTGAAGACTTTTGGGCAGGCAAATGTGTCACAGAAACACTGTTACAGTTGGGTTGTCTGGAGTTCAGTCGTGGAGCCTGTACCAGGTTTTTCATTGCACTGAGCCATCGAACTCCTGTTGGCTGACCCACCGGAGATGCCCTGCTAAGGCATCTGTTCTACACACTGTTTGCTGATTCGGTTCTGAACCAAAGGTGTGTAAGAAAGATGGAAGGCAAGTGCTAACGCATCAACGTTTTGTCTGCGAGTCACGTGCCTATTGCACTAGCTAACATTTTCAGTTAGGATCCAGAGTGTGTTGACGCCAGGTAAAACTTTTGTAATTATATTACATATTTTTTCTTCATTTAAAATATGGTGTCTCCTCCTATGTACTTATTATAGAAACTTTAACACTTATAGAAAAGCAGAAGTAATACAAAATAACTTTAGAGAAAGTGGTTGCTAACATTTTGCTGCATTTCCCCCCAGTGTTTGAAATCAGTATGTATAATACGTGTTATCATTTCAAAATTGTCGTCGTAGCACATAAGAGTTTTATATTCCACTCTTTTCACTTGTACTGTATCTTGAATTTTTTTAGGCCACTAAGTATTTTTCAAAAATATGATTTTAATGTCTGCATAATAATTTTGTTGTATATATATCAGATTTTATTTAATGTTTCCACATTATCAGGCATTTTTATTATTTCCAGGGTGTTTTTCCTATTACGAATAAAGTTGCATTAAATTCCTGAGGAGATAGTGTGTATAAAATGAGATAGTGTGTATTGAGTCAAAAGTTTTGAACGTGTTTAAGGTTGTTGATACATATCTCAAGTTATTTTCCAGAAAGGTTGCACCAATTTCCATACCTGTCTAGCTCTGAGGTTAACCTGGAGCTTCACCTGTCTGACAGGCAAGAGAAAGTCTCTCTTTAATTGGATCGCTTCGATTATCAGTGAGGTTGCACCTGTCCTTGTAGATTTCTTAACCATTTTCATTAACTATTCACTTCCTTTGCCCATTTTTATTCTAATAAATAAGCCTTAGTGAAGCTTTTCGAAAGTTTGTTTCACCTTTTAATTTGATTGGGACTTTAAAAAATAAAGATACTGGAGCCTTCAAGTTGGTAAACGTGAAGATGCAGGGAGAGGCATGGATGTTTCGTGCATCTTCCCACGTCTCTTCTCATATGTGTCTCTTCCATCTAGCTGTTCCTGAGTTGTCTACTCTTCATCAAACGTAGCAGAGAAGTACACTGGCTGAGGGTTTCTTTGGCTCTTTGTTTCCTTATGGGGCCCCCTCATCACATAAAACTTATATTAAACAAATCTGTAAGCTCATCTCCTATATAAAAGAATAAAATAAAATAAAATTATTAATCACTTATGATATTTGTGGAAAGTATTTTTCCCAGTTTATAATATGCCTTTTAATTTCATATAATGTTTTTGACCTAGAGGAGATTTTAATTTTTATGTAGTCAAATCTGTCAAGTTTCTCTTAGAAAGTCTTTTGTTGCTCTGAGATTCATCTGCTTTGTTCTAATATTTTTACTTAAATTTTAGTTTAATTTTTGTAATTTAATCTGTTGGCAGTTTATTCTGGTCAGCTGTATGAAATGAGAACTAAACTTTTTTTTTTCCCGAATAGGAAACCAGTTGCTCCAAGATCATTTATTAGATTTTGCTGACTTGTAGTATCTCCTTTTTTAAAACAAAAAAATTATCTTTATTTTTGAGAGGGAGAGAGATAGAGAGAGAGAGAGAGAGAGAGAGAGAGAGAGAGAGAGA